CCTCTTATAACTGTAAGAAGAGACCTGTTAAAGACCTTCTGCTATATAAATACTGTTAAAAGAACTGGAATAACATTATATTTGCAAATTATCAAAAAAAAGCTTTAATATAAATAATTTAAAACTAATAAATTAAACTGAGTTTAAAAATAATAAACTTAGTTTTTTATTTGAATTGAGCTTAAACTTAATTAAAGCTTAATTTAACTTAGCTTATTTTGAATTTTAGTACAAATTTTATTCCTTTTATAATTTTTTATAATTATAAATTATTATTAAAAATAAAGAATAATAAGTTAAAAATATAATATTTTACTATATACCTTTTAGAAATTCTTAAATTTCAAAAACTTATTTATTTATTTATTTAAATAATTTTATTTATATACTCATAATATTTTATTTTTATATATAGTAGCAATCAGAAATAATACAATAACATCAAATTTTATTAATTAAATATAATAAAATATGAATTTTTCTTTTTATATAAAATTTTTTAATTTTATTAATAAATATTTTTATTTTTATATTAAATTAAAGATATTATTACATATTTTAATATATATTTTTTTCAGATTTTTTAGATTTAATCTGATAAAGCTGTTCTAATTGCATATAAAATCAATTATTTTTTTATATATTTAATTATAAAAAAAATTAACCTTATATGCAATTAGAATAGCTTTATCAAATTAAATCTAAAAAAATATATATTAAAATATCTTTATTTTAATATAAAAATAAAAAATATTTATTAATAAAATTGAAAACTTTTATATAAAGAGAAAAATTTGTATTTTACTATATTTAATTAATAAATTTTAATATTATTGCATTATTTTTGATTGTTATAGTATAATATAATACAAAAAGATTTTTATTTTAATTAATTATTCGAACAATATATAGTGACTAAAAAAATTATGGAATTATACATATAATTTTATTAATAAAATATAGTAAAAATTAAAATTTTTGTCTTATATAAAAGTTTTTAATTTTGTTAATAAATATTTTTTATTTTTATATCAAATTAAAGATCATAAGTTATAGTTTAACATATTTTTCTGGCTTTTTCTGACAAAATTGGCATTTACTAATTTTTCTCTAAATTTCTAATTGGTTGAGAATATTAAAGATTAATTTTATTATTAAAGTTAAAATAAAAACTATATATAAAATTATCTTTTCAAAATATTTTATTAGTGCTTGAGCCAGGTTTACCTATTTATTTTCTGTATTTTTTATATTATTTGCCTTTTTAATTTTCTTGTGTCAGATTTATTTTGCCAGGTTAAGCAAAAATTTATGTATTTTATTTGTTAATTTAGAAAACTCAGTGTACAGTCAATCAATTAGTAATAAAAATTACTTGTATTCAATTAGAAACCTGGAGAAAAATTAGGAAATGCCAAAATTGTTCTAATTGCAAAGTTATTGCGAACCTTTTTTATAATTAATTTTACATTTTAATTATTTTAATTATAACAACTTTGTCAGAAAAAATCTAAAAGATCCAGAAAAAACTATAACTTATGATCTTTATTTTGATATAAAAATAAAAAATATTTATTAACAAAATTGAAAACTTTTATATAAGACAAAACTTTCAATTTTTACTATATTTTTTATTAATAAAATTACATGCATTATTCCATAATTCTGTTAGTTACTATATATTAATACACTTGTTTAATACAAACTTCTAAAAATAGAAATTCATAATGATAAAAGTTTTGCTTTATTTATTCTTAAATAAAAGTATAATAAAAATACTAAAAATGATATAAAAGGTTATATTAAGGTATGCTTTATTTAATATAAAAAATTATAAATATTAATTATATTTTGTATGACTTTTATTAAAAGTAATTATTAATTTTCATTTTTCGTGTATCAACATTTTTGCACCGGACCATATTTGTATTTAACGTTAGTGATCATTAGATATCGGAAAAAAGAAATAACTTTTATTTTATGAATTCAATAAATTGCTTGACTAAGAAATAAATACAAATTTAATCCGTAAATATGCTTAAGAAAGGCCTATTCTATCATAGTCACGGATTAAATTTTGTATTTACTTGTTATTCAGGAAGTTTATTGAATTCATAAAATACAATCTATTGATGTTATTATATCTCCATATGAATGGCAATCCGAACCAGGTCAATTTATAATAATTAGGGTAATAATTTTTCTATGCTAAGTAAAAAATGTCCCCGAGTTTATTTTACATCGGTTGAGCAAAAAATTTTGTCGATTCCCCTCCGCCTTTTTACTGCACTCAGCCCATAAACCGTGAAAAAATATGAGCTTAATCAAGTATATTATGATATAAATATGTACATGTATTGTCCTATCGATTATATGTGTGTGTGAAAATTATGTTAGATAACTTGCACATATATTTCACAGGTTGTCTGCTTTCATCTTTTTTAACACACACGCTGTGAATTACAATTTAAAAACAAGAATTTCTACTTGAGCGTTATCTCGATTATAACGGAAATTTAAACGATCAATTGATGAAAATTCAATTAATTAAGAACAATTGTAGAAAACTTTTAAACGTTACAAATTAATTAATGATATAATTCAGAGTATGATATGAAAGTTTTAGATTCTGTTGATTAGAAATACTTCAACTGAAATTCAAAAAGTGTAACAATTAAATAATCATTAATTTGCAGGATACCTTCCAATTGACAATGGATTTCGCAATTTATTATTCTTACGTATTTAAAATATGAAAACCAAAATTATATGCAAACATTTACTTAAGCAAACTTAAAAACTAAGTTCACCAATCATTTGCTTTTTTTCTTTAAAAAAAAACTTTTACCGTAAAGTTCCGTGAATAAGCAACCCCCTACGTCATCAATTTGAGATCAGTTTTTTGGGGATTGCTTATTCACGGGACTTTCTGGATACTTAATGTCTATTGGCCCAACGATTAAATTATTCACTGCGCATATATATATTAAAGGGTAATTCCGATCACTATGAATGTAACGAAGTATATATATAGTTACATTTCTGCTGAAGATTAGAATTAGATGAATAAAATATAATAATTTTTTTATTTTAGTATATAAAAAGGGGTTGCTTATTCAACTTTTCCAAGACTTTTGAATCTAAAGAGAGGAGAGTTGCTTATTCACGGAACTTTACGGTAATCTGATGATTAATTATCAATTAGCAGCATTTCAATGCATACCATTAATAATTTAGAATTTTACAACCGGTTTTCCGCAGGTAGCATGACGTGTTACCGAATTCTGTTTATAGATTACAAGTTATGTATTTGCAAATATACATAGTTCTTATTAATTCACGTTTCAAAGACAATAAGCAAGTTATTTCTTGTATTTTGATATTATGTTGAATCTATGTGTATTTCATGACTATATACCGAACAATGTGAGCATAAACAATATACGTTTCGGGTAATTCTGTAATACGTGTAGCTAATCAACATTACAATTACCTGATTTATGCATTTTAGTGATACTCGACACAATGCACTCACTCCTTCTTAGTATTGTTCTCACCTAGATAATGTTAAGCCAATTTTTCTATTGTGAAGTCGCGTTAATAAATACGAGCTCGTTAAAAAATTTTTTAAAAAGCCATCGTTTAAGAAAAACGTTTTACTTTCAATTATACAAAAGATCTCTTTTTAACTCTACCGCGTAGGTTACGACTTTTGTATTGAATACAAGTTTAAATTTTTCGTATATATCAATGGGTTTAACTCCATTACAAAGTAATTTCGCCCAATGTTTTCTTTGGGGAACTTGGGCAATGGTAAGTAGTGTTGAAAGTTTGCAATCCAAGATTTTGATTAATCGCTCACTTATACTTTGATAAATTATAGTTTCATCTTCATAATTTCTTCGTCTCTATCGCGTATTACCATGCTCGTCAAGCAAATGTATCAAATCTTCTCAAGATCATTTTTAATTTCTCTGGTTTTGTCAGAGCTGTCCTCTCAATAGTATATGTACTGACGACTTTTGAGGATAACTCTGCTTGCGCAATTCAAGGTTACATTGTAAATCTATCTACAGTGTTCTTTCGTTTGTCCTTAAGTGCTTTTTTATTGTGGCGAGTAAGACAAGTTGAATATAAACGAAGCGATACATTTATTGGCTCAGCACTCTTAGTTTGTACAGCAGTTTTACAGGTAAATGTTAAGATATAATTGATTACTGTGTAAACTTTTATCAATTTTCATTTACTAATCTACATATTTTTCTCTAGTTCACTCGTGCCTTTCTCAACAAGATACACACTGCTCGTGGACCTACAGGATACTATTGTACCGGCGATTCATCAGATACAATTGTAAATTTGCAATGGACATTTCTTGCAATAGACTTCGTTATCGATATATTTGTAACAACAAGATTAGTTCAAGTACTCCAAAAAGCCAACACTAATGCCAAATATGTAGCATCAAACATGAGACGCCCACATAAAAGAACATTATTTACCGCAGTCATGTACTGGAATTTCTTACGACTATTTATCACAATATTTTACCACGTGATGTCGGCGGTATACGCTAAATTGATTTATAAAATAAATGGGCTTACCATAATGTATATTTTTACATTCATTTATATTTCACTGTCGTATTTGATAACTGCCGATGCGGAGATAGTGAGAGTAATTGAGGGGCGCGGTCCAATTACTAGCGGAAAACCCGAGAAATCATCATTTAATAAAGGAAATAAAAATACACATGGTCAAACATCAACATTTGATATCTCAACTAAAGATTCGCACGATTTTACATCAACTCAACTTTCATATAAACCAACTGTATCCCAAAATACTCAAGACACTCAAAGGATCGGTAAAGACACTGTAGTTGTCTCGTCGATGAAAAGAGTTTCTTTTTTTGAATGGGCAAAATTTGTCGTCGGAAAACGCACCGATAAGAATGATAAGAAGGAAACTGACAACAGTGCAGATGATTCGATTGAAGAAATACGACATGAAGTAAACGCCGAGACTGATCCTGAACTTGGACTTGTCAGCAAGCCTGAAACAAATGAAAATCTCGCTATGAAGTCTGAATTAGATAAAAACCAACGATTTAGTGGTCATAGTTTAGATACAACTGTCACAGAATCAACAATATCTAATACAGACATTAATAATAATAATGAATCAAAACATAATTCAATTGGTAATGCTCTCTAATTAACGTTAATAATCACCATCTTTATTTATTAATTTATTCTTTTTTTCACAAAATTATTATTGTAATTTAATTATTTTATTTGCTATCGCTATGTGATGACTTAATCGACGCTGAATTTATCTATCATGTAAATTTTGTATATTTTAGTTTTCCTACACTAACAAAAAGATCTTATCGTTATAACTAAATTAATTAATTGGTACATGTATATTGGAATGAAAACTATTTTGTTTTTAATTTACGCAGCATTCATACTTATAGTCAAGAGTTAATACGTCAAATACATACTCTGTCGTCCAAAGCATTTGGTGTCGTTAATACAGATTTTATTGTTTATTTGAATTCAAATGCTATTCTCAATTTATACAATTTATAAAATATTTTTTACATCAAACTACCGACATAATTATATAAAAAACAGCTATAAAAATAAAAAGTTTAAAAAAGAGCCATTTAGCAAAGGGAATTATGTTTAGAAATTCAAAATTTTGATGTAAAAAAATGCAAAAATACCTACAGTTTATATATAATGAAAGAAAAAAGAAACATGCAATAGTGAAAATGATGAAATGCAAAAAAATTACAATGATGATGTGAAGAAAATCTCACGATGCTAATCTATTTATATGTGTGTGTGTGTGTGTGTGTATACTAATGCTGTGAATGTATGTAAAAGGGAAAGAATGATTTATGATAGAGATATAAAGTTGGCTCAAGATATCAAAGTTTAACCTTAGTTGATCCACTATTATGAAGAGATATTAACGGGAATAAAATTTAGTTATACACATCCGATGCAAGGCCATTGACGTGCAATCAGTTTGTTGGTTTGACTCACGATGTCAGATTTTGATTCTGAAGAAACTAAATCACGTTTAAAAAATGAATCGTCTAATAGACTTGGCTTTCTCTTATTAAGGTTACGTGATTTGTTGTTGTTTCTTTTTCGCTTTGGCTGGCTTGGAGTTTTGGTCTCTTTATCAGAAGAAATTGAAATATCAGCGCAATTCATAAAAGTGTCACCGGATGACGCTGGCATCCATCTGAAGCGTAACGTACAACGCTCGCATTCTACGCCACTTGGTAATTGAATCGTGGATTTGAAAGATCCATCACTTTCATTGGCGCAATCTTTAATAGTGCCAATTGTATAAAATCTACCAGTAGTTGAAATATCGAGATAACATATACCCTCACGTGCAGCTCCCATCGCCCATTCGAAATCAACGGATTGACCAGGAGTAAAATGCGAAACTTGACTAGGCTTTAGTCCATTTCCACATTTATATTCGGTTGCTGGACCATGCATACTTTCGAGTCTACTCTCAATATCGTGTTCTGGAATTATTACATATGGAAGAGTCATATGACCTTTGCAAGCAACATTGCTAACAAAGAGAAGAATTAAAATGACGATGTAATACATATTTCTTGTTGACGCGGTTGATGTAGAAGAAAAGGATTTGATAGTGATGAAGATTTAAAGGCAAAGATTGTTGATGTAGTTGTTAATTAAGACTGATATTAAATTATTTGTGATAGACGGTGGATAGAAATTGCCTTTAGACTGGGAGTGAAGGAAATATGAATGTGAAGATTAGAAAGATAGGAGTGTGAGGATTAGAGAGATAGGAGTGTGAGGGTTAAAGAGAAGAATCTCTACCGGAGAGTAAATGCTACTTCTGTAGAAAAGAAGGTCTCTAAGGTAGTAAGGATGAGTAAATATAAGGAATGTGAATTTGATGAGGAAAACAAAATCTGCGACAACTAGGGGTTTTATATTTTCGTGTGGGTATAACAAAACATCCTCTTGAAATATAAAAAAGAAAGTCTTTGTTTACGATGAATCTTTGTACTAATGTACCAACCATTATTGGCTGTATATTATATAATTTATATAGTTTATATAATACTATCTATACTATCTATATTCTATGCACTGTTGTTTTTTTTTTGCTGCTGTTGGACATTTTAGGAATACTGTGTGAGCTACACAATTTAAGGAACAGATAATTACCGACAATGTCGCTCAGTATGTATCGGTATGCAAGTGTGATTCATTGTTAGAATCGATATCTTTTTAATGTAATTTAAAATCAAGAATTTATGTTATCGTTATTGAATGAAACAAAATTAATGCTATGTACACGTAGCTTATAGCCAACTGGACCGACATTAATGGACTATGCATTTGCTCGGAGACATTGAACTGTAATAACGATCAACAAGTAAATTATTAAACAAAAACTGCGCTTCCTGATTTAGTAACATACGACAGTTAATGGATCCGATTTGGATTACGGAATTTCATTAGACTTAGATAAATGAAAATTTTTCTAGAATGACAATAATGGTTTAGCAAAATATATTGTAAATTTTTATTGTAAAATTTATAACTAATATTGCACGATTTTTTACTATCAGAAACTTATCACGTTCTCTGCTAAAAACATGAACGACGTGTGAATATTAATCATGTAACCACCAACCAATTGAATGAATATTTAAAATGGATCGCCGATAATTTTCGGAATGACTATGTTCCAAAACAAGTAAACAGCTCAACCAAAATTCCTAACAGATCATTTAATTGGTTTGTTTCATTCTCTTGTTATTTGCACATAAATCTCGTTTGATCATTATTAAATTCTTATATCTGAAACCCTAATATTCCAACATAGACAACTTGAATTTAGGAAAATGTAAAATAGCTAAAAATGGAAATATGATTTGAATGAAATAAAATTCCCTAGAATAGACATCGTTGTATGTTTACCGCTTCCTTGTACTTTTCCTCGTTGTATTGTTGGCGAGGCTGTTAAAATCCATTTCTTAATTTGGCAAACTGCTCGTTTGTCGCGCATCGTTTAATTAAACTCTCGCGAAACTGAGAAATTATCACACACACAGGTGACACAAAAAAAGTAAAAAATTACCAAACGTGGTAGACAGCTACTGAGAAGATTTGAAATTTGAATTTTTCAGTAACAGATTTTGCAAAATCCAAAGCTTCCAATAACCTTATTTTCAATCTAAGATGCAAATAACTTTAAATTTATTGTTTATGCGTATATGCATATAATTCTTAGTTGCATAATGAGAAGAAAGAGGTCAAAACATTTATGTGACTATATTTAATTCTGTTGCTTCTGTTGAATTAATAATGATTAAAAATTTGTGCGAAAATATGAAGCATTTGTGCTCTTTCGAGGATGCTTCGATGGCATTTTCAAGAAAGTTGTTTTTTAAGCATAAGCTTGATGGATAGATTGATAGATAAAGCAACTATGACAATTATAATCAATGTTTAAGCTTATTCAGAAGAATTCAATTCAAACTTTCAAATCGAGACCCAATGTTCAAGTCTAATCCCAATAATTACTATCCATCCACTGTTCTCTACCAACATATAGACAAATTTTTCCTCATTGTTTCCGAGACAACTTTCTTCTTAAGTCACCAGTTATAAAATGCATGATAATTTGGGGAAACCCTTGTTCTTCTTGCTTTGTCTTGTAGAAACAAATAAACACCAAAACAAGCACAGGTTGAATTGATGGTTTGATAACGATAATGAGAATAAACACTATTACTAGAATAGAATGAAGTACAACATTAGTTATTTTAACTTCACATTGCATATTACAATTTGGTAAATGAGTGTCACAGCAATGATTCCGAAAACGGAAAACAGATAGTAATGTGAGTAACACCATACTACAGATATCGATTTGGTTATGGCATGCGCCATTAATAACGATAGCCTTATTGCTGTTACTATTACTAGATAAATGAAACTTTACTTCTAATGAAAGTTAATACGTAATTAATGTGAAAATTACAAAAATTAGCCAGTAAAATCACCAGACATGTTAGCATACAATAAAGATAATTAACTGATAATGCACAGTGACAATTAACAATTTCACGTAATATAACGTCTTATGGGCCTTTTTTCGCTAGACCAAGAAATGAAGGTTTGTTTTAATACATTTCGAGCCCCGGTTAATTAAGCCATAAAATTGATTATCGAATGAACACGACATCTTAATGTACAGCCATTAATTATAAACTTTCTAATTTTTCTAATTACACGAATAACCGATTTTTCTAAATTTGAAGCAGCACCGTTTTTCTCTTTTCTATATGCCATTGTTGGTGACTAAATGCATCATTAAGGTTACCACATAATTAAATAATTGGTTTTAAATTTTCTGTACGTTATGTACGGTCAAACCCTCGATACACCATACGCTCTTATAACGATGATTAATTAAAGTCTCGATAGCCCAAAAACACTTCTAATAAAATTTCCTTCGGCATTACGATTTTCATCATTAATTTAACGATATTTGCAAATTTTTGCACCATATCGTTATATCGAGGATTGACTGTAAAATGAATCTTAATCAATGTGTTCACACTAATAAAACACATGATACCAATAAAATGTAGAACAAAAGCAATATATGCGAGAGTTTTAAAGTTTAGTGTCAACATAATTATTCATCGAAGAGGTAACTTGAATGGAAATTTTCACCCACAAATTTCTTTGTCAACCATTTTAACCATTCTTGCGAAACCTGCTGCATATATATGCGTCTAGATGATCTTTCATTCACAGTCCAACCGACAACAATGACCAACTTACATGTGATCAATCAAATTAGAAACGCCGGAATATTTTCAAGTATTTATCACCTTTCTAAAAAAAGTAAACAAAGGAAAATTAAGGGGCGGATCGAATCATATCAGTAAATAGTTGCGCCACTCGATGCCTGAAAAGGTACATGATTTTCTAGTAAAATAGAACAAGGACTTGAACTTTGCGTTAATTCGATTTGTATGAATATGTACATGAAATTTTAGTCGCTGATGGCATTGGATGTCAATTGCAAATTTTTAATATTAGAGGTGTTCAACATAGATTTTCCCTTTATTTCTGCTGCTTTTGGCAGACAACTCACAGATCAACGCACAAGATTTGAAAAAGCTATGTTATGTTAGGAAGAGCCAATTGGATAAGTGTGCGCGCGTTTCATTCAAATTATGAACTTCCTTATGTAAGATAACAATATGATTCGCCCTTTACTTAATGAATTCAAAGTGGAAGTGCAGAAGTGACTTGCATTGCAGTAATCAATACATAGATCATTCTGACACTTTTGGAAAGCGGCAAAGCGAAAATGAAAAAATCTAATAATGCCGAATGCGAGATTATTTTTAATACTCGATTTCTAATATTTTTTATTCTTAAAGTTAATACAGCTTTTTTAGGAATACTGGAGATTTATCATAGAAGAATCTCGAGAGCTTTCTTTCGGTATGACAAATTATAATGTACATAAGCCAAAAAGTACCCTTTAAAAGTCCAATTTACGCGTTATTTGTAAATCTAAGCTTGTTTATTTTTTGAAAAACAAAGATTTTTCAAAGTAAATAATGGATTCTAATAAATTTGTTTTTATAATGTGGTCTCGTTGTAATGTCATTTCAATATTGATATAATGACATTATAGAATAATGATATACAATCAACACTGGATATAACGAACACTGTAATCTGATATAACGAACTTTATTAATAGAACTGTCGTTTGTTAGATCCAGTGTTATAAGAAATTTGATTGATGTAATGACATTTCTTAATATAACGACTTTTTTTTAGCTGAAACGAAGGGTGTTGTTGCAATTGTATATTAATAACAATTTTCCACTTAATTAACGTAATTGTGCGGCTATTTTAAGCACGTTTATTGCATTTAATTAAAAGAGGAGGCTAACTTTGTTAATATTCTAATTCAGAAATAATGCGTATTTCTTGTATGTGTCATTGTTCAATTAGATTGTGATTACAGATAAAAGATTTAATATAGCTACCAAGTTATATTAAAAAAAATACATTTTGTTTCATAATAGGATATAATAAAAATAAACTAGGAGATTATAATGTGGATGACTTAAGTTATTTGGCCCCTTTTTGTTGAAAGAGGTTTTTCCACTGAAGTATACTTAACATTAATTTCAATTATTTTATCAAAGAAACAGTAAAACATGTATTTAAATTTGCTTTATATGCAAATTTTCTTTAATTTCATCAAGTTTGGTAAAAATCCGCGTTTTTAATTATAAAATAGCTTTTCCATCAAGAAATGAAAACTTTGATTCTATTCTTCATAGTAAATTATTTTTTTTCTAGGTTAGCTATTAAAAAATTGTATTTAGTTAAATAACACCAAATTACGCCCTGACTCAGCAAAATATTGTTAATAAAGAGATGTTTTAAATTTCAGGTATCATAATTAGTCTAAAATTCGTGGTTCCGATTTTTTACATAGCGATACATGTGCGTATTATCTAAAAAAA